TAATTTTATATATTATATAAATGTTTATTTATAAATAATAAAATAATGATGAATTAATTAGATTTCGCATAATTTTTGTATTTGACCATAATAATTGATGTATTCTATATAATATATTTTATAATTATGCACAATGACGAATATAAATAAATTTATAATGTTTCCTCGACCACTCCTAGTCCCCACCTAGGCGTTAAGCCTTAGTCAACTCATTACCGAGCACCTAACGACTTTTAAAACATTGCTATTTTATTTTTACAAATTTACATGACTTTTATAGTAAAATGCTATACTTAAAAGTATTAAACAACAATATAAAAAGAACTATGACATTTAAAATAAATATGTTTTTTGTAAGCACGACGATTATTAATGATTAAACTGTTTCACACAAGAATTATTGCATAAATTAAAGCACAAGAATTATTGCATAAATTAACTTCAACATAAAACAAGCGTGACAAGATTTTACATATTTGTACATCATACAAACTTTAAAAACAATTATTATAAATTTCACACTACTTTATCTCAATATATGTAAGTTTAATGTTAGGTCGGTCTAATCATTAGGCCGACGTACATTTTCAACAAATGTATATATTTTTATTAAAAAAAAAATCATAAATTAAATAACAACATAAACAAAAATATCATATTCATTAGTATAAGCATTTTCATTAATTATTGTAGTATGACATATATACCCGTCTAATTGTCATGTCGCTTAGTAAAAAACTTGTGATATTCAATTATAGAAAAAGACTACAATTCCATCAAAGAATGATTTCGTGAGGAATTTTAGCCATGGATTATCTAAAATATCTAACTCACATTTATATCTAAAGGCTAAAATCTCTCGCGGTACCATTCTGTGACGGGATTGCAACATTTTTCTCAATTGTATTATTTAATGTTGACACCATAATTAATGAAAAATATTAGGGCAATGCAATATGTACACCCCTTTTTAATAAATTACACAAAGGGCAATGTTATATGTACACCCCTTTTTTACACACAGGGGGTGTACATATAGACACCCCCAAATATTATAACATGAAACCATTTGAAAAAAATTACATATATACCAATCACTATTATAATCAAACATCAATATGATTCCACATAATATTTGGTTGAACGTTTCATTGTTTTTTTTTTTTTTTTTTATTATGTAAACTCGTGTTGTGGTTTCATTGAAATCGTACAGCCTATGAAAGGTGAAAAAACGTGTTAGCTATTAGGGAGAGAGAGAGAGAGAGAGAGAGAGGACCATACTCTATCTCAGCTTTAACTGCAAACACATCAAATCAAAATCAAATCAATCAAATTTTGTTTCCCAACTTGTTTTTGCTTTACTTTGGCACTTCCCCGCCTTTTCAGATTTGTAACTTATTTGTTTATATTTTCCCTAATTAAGTCTTTCTTATAAATAATTTTAAATAAAGTAGCTTTAAAAAATGGCCACGGACCGGTCCGGCCTGTCGTCCCGGTCCCAACTCGGCCTGACCTGGCCCGCAATCGGCCCGTAAGTTGCCGGTTCCAAGAACCACCTTGACTTTACAAGTCGTTTTTGAGTCCCTTTTTTTCGTCAGGACAGGGTCGGTTCGACGGACCCGGCCCTTGGTTTTTTGACGGGCCAGTCAAAGGTCACCCATGGGAGACCCGGCGGCCCGGCCCGGCACGTTAACATTGATGGGCCATGTCTAAACATATCATCAAGCCCTAGCTTAAATTTGTGAAATTAAATTGTGTGGGGTAATGTTTAATTGTCAAGTACATGACATGATTTGGGAATATTTGCTACATCGAGCTTGATATTTATATAATCGCTACAGAAAAATCACAAAATTCCAGATAAATATTCTAATCATGAAAATTTAATGAAAATTCTAACAAAATTTCAATGTTTGGATGAGTTTTTTTTGTTGAAATTTTAGTCGAAATTTGATGATTCTAATGATAAATATTCTAACGGTGTATATAAATTCATTGTTGTAATTAATAAATTCTAATTAAAATTAAAAAAAAAAACTCATTTCAACAAAATATCTTTTCTGAAATTTCATTTGAAAGCTCCATCGAAAGTTTAAATGGAGAGAAATATCGTTAGGCCATCTCCAACAGAAAATCCATACTCAAACCCATTTTGCAGCAATTGTCACATTTTGCATTAATTTATCTCCAACCGAAAACTCCATTTTCAAACCAAAAGAATATTCTCGGAATATTCTCTTTCACATTAACTTTTACAATTTTTCAATACTACCCATATATTTTACAACTTTACAAATTAAACCACACTATTAATATCGTTTGTAGATTTTTTTCTTTTTAAAATATACTAATATATAATAATAATTATAAATAAATAAAACAATATTTAACTTAACAATAATTACTAATACTAAATATAATATAAACACATACATAAAATATTAAAACATATTATATCATAAGAAAAATTATATTATTTCAATTTATTATAATTTTTTTAATTAAAATGTTGATACTTGATACATATATTTTAATGTCAAACATTAGTTTACCATCACCCAATCCCTTCCCGACTTCCACTTTCCGCAGTCCACATACATATTTCATTTTTTTTTTTACTTTTTTAACCCTTTGTGTAATTATAATTAAAAAGAAAGACTGAATTGAAAATGTAGAAGTACAGACGCATTTTTTTTGGAGGAATGCAAATTTGCGTCAAAATCAGGAGAGAAAAACTCAAAAACTCATTTTGGGTTTGAGTTTGCAGTACCATTGAAGAGATTTTCTCCCAATTTTTGCGTTTTGCAGCTCGGTTGAAGACGGTCTTACAAGTCCATTGACTTGTGGTTAATAGTCATAGGAATGTATCTTTATGGAATTTTTCATTAATGTTAAATTTTTTCTTGCATTGAATTGCGATTGATAAAAAATAAAATTTTGAACTATTTTAAAGTGAACTAATTTATCATTTTTAATAAAATCATTTATGAATTAATACAATTTACAATTATCGTGTGTATGTTTAGGTCACGTGTTAATAGGTAATTAACTTAATTGTGGATGACTATGTAAGTTGGGGAAATGTTAGGGTCCCGTTACAGAACCACTCCGTTGGGTTTCTAACTATTAGATAATCATGTAACTGTCAGAGATAGTTGATCTAACGGTTACAAACTACGATGAAATAGTTCCGTAACAGAACCGCAACATCTTCCTATAAGGTGTATGTGTCATTCCTAGAAAGATTTGACCAAACTATTCACATTGAACATAGGTCATCTGTACATAATGCATAATCCTTTTAATAAAATCACTCTTATATTTATGTATGGAAATATTGTTTGATACAGATCAGTCGTGTTTGGCAGCTTGGAGGATAGAAGCAAACGATAAAATAACCTAACATTAGGCAAGTTTTACATGGAAATGAAGAATTCAGGTATGCAGTTTGTGTAAGCTTCGCCTAAATGTTACTTTTAACTCTTTTCTTCGCCGAATTTTATGTAACACACTCCAAAATCCAAACGATTTGCACGTGTTTACGAGGAAAAAATATTGATCGTTTCAATTTTGTATTTCACTTTGATGTAAAATGTCGATACATATGACATTTATTTCTATAATAAAACGTGAGTTCGCGATCGTTTAAAGATTAGACGTCAGCAACTGTGAAGAGAAACGAAATTGTGAAATAGAAAAAAATCTCATAAATGTTGACAAAACAAGGGGGTGTCATGTAATATGAATTGCAAGGTTCATATATTTTTTCTGGTAGATAATTCCCTTATGTCCTTGAAAATTAGAGTCCAAAACAATATTATCAAACATAGAATAATATATGGGCCATTTAGAAGTGTTTTATACTTTAAAAATAATACAACAGATTATTCAAGTATTTGTTTTTATAAACCAATCAATTAATCGGGTTGCCTCATCATATAATTTATTATATTGTACACTTATTTTATAAAATATTATATTTTTTAATTTTATTCATTTGTTTTAAATACGTTTCGACATAGAAATATCCTTTATATATTTTTTTTAACGCAAAATGTGTTGAGGCAACATGACAGACTCGCACGATTGAATATTGAGATTGACAAAATTTTATGTTACGCGATTGGTTTTAATATACATTTTTGGTTTAGAATCAAGTTTGATATCTGTCATAAACATTCTATTAATAAATTTGGTAAGCATGTATTGACTTTGATCAAATTTTTATTCTTAAATCAAATATTACCATACAAAAATAATATTGTCATAAATATATTTTTGTATTATCAGTTAAAAGTTACTAACTTTCATAATTGTATTATGCTTTTTAGATATATATGATACACTAAATTAATATTCAATTATGTGCATATGCGCAAATACAAATAAAATTTTATTGTTCATACTTGTGTTTATGTAATATTTAAAATGATAAGTTGGATAATGACTATATCACATTTATAAATTTTATAAATAATAAATAAACGTCACTAATATAAATTATTTAACTTACGTATAAATATTTATATTTATATTTTTTTTTTGGTACAGGGACCTTCCGATTTCTGAATTCACAGGGGAATCGACTAATTCGGAATCGAGGCGGGTAAGACCACAAGGACGGCAAAACTCTCGTCAAGAGTTTTAACACTACATTCCCTCAAGAGTTTTATATTTATATTGACTGAAATAATGGTTTGCTCTGTGGTTTGTATGCCAACAGCAGTCGTGCGTCGACAGTTGAGTCACAATTTAGAAATATAAATAATTAAATAAAAAAAGTTGTGAATAAATTATAGTAAAGTATAAATCACAAAATATTCCTCACAAATAAATAACAAATTAAAGAACACTGATGGGCCTCTCCTCACTCATCATCAGCTTCAAAGCTTCCATTCTCGCCTGTTCTCCACAACCTTGAGTTTCTCCACACACAAACAGAAAAAAAAAAGCTAAAATAAAATAAAAAAAGTAACTAATTCATTCTCATCGTACTTTACATGGATGCAATGTACGGACTCCACTCGGCCGGCGACGATTACTCCGATAAGGCGCTAATGTCCCCGGACAACCTCATGAGCATCGCCGCCGCCGGTGGCTACTACCACGACTACGATCCTCTGATTCCCTCCGCCGATCATCACCGCCGCATTAATCCACCGTTCGAATCGGAGGACTACGGGCTAATCCAGTGCTCCGCCGTATCTGAATCCGTAAATTCCGTAAGCGCTCACCGCACGATCGGCTATGGCGACGGAGGAGCCGATCGAAACCGCCGTGAGGACGACGGGGCCAGCTATGCCGCCGTTAAAGCCAAAATTGCTGCTCATCCTTGTTACCCGAAGCTGCTGGATGCCTACATCGATTGCCAAAAGGTTTTTTTAGATTGCGTTAGGTTATTGTTACCTAAATCAGTTTTACACGAATGATTTTGGGAATTTTGGTTTTTTGTGGGCTGATTTTTGAGGGAATAAGTGTTTTACTGTGAGGATTTGTTGATTTCTTCTGTATTTTTTTTGGCCGTTAATTTCTGCCGGAAATTATTGTTCGGCACACGTGATGTGCGTGTTTCGTGTGGTTTTCAGGTCGGAGCCCCGCCGGAGATAGCGTGTTTGCTAGACGAGATCCGGCGAGAAAAAGACGCACAGTACTGCAAACAGGACGACGCCGTTTCCACGTGCTTAGGAGTCGATCCCGAGCTCGACGAGTTTATGGTCTCTCTCTCACACAAACACGCACTTGCTCGCACTTTCAATTTTTCTTTCATTGTCGTATTACAGCTAATATTAACAGCTGAATTCACGTTTTTTTTTTTCTCACTGATTAAGCCAGTATTAAAATATTTTCTATATTATTATTTATTTCATTTATTTTTTTATTTTTTTTTGGGATTTTGGGGTTAATAGGAAAGCTACTGTGACGTATTGGTGAAATACAAGAGGGATTTGTCGAGGCCCTTTGACGAAGCTACATCTTTCCTCAACAACATTGAAACCCAACTCGCCAATCTTTGTAAAGGTAAACCCAACTGCGTGTTTGTGTGTGTGTGTGTGTTTGTTTTTTTTTCTTTATTTCTGAAGGTTTTCATTTCATGCATGTGTGCTGTAAATTCTGGCTTTGTTTAATTAACTACTTAATTTGGGAAAATGTTACAAGTCTCGTTGCGGAACTATTTCGTCGAGATTCATAACCGTTAAACATGATGTAATCGTCGTGGATAGTTGATCTAACGGTTACAAATTCCGTCACGGAATGGTCCATAACGGGACCGTAGAATCTCCCTTTCATTTGATATTCGTCTTTCATTAGTGAAGCAAATTAATCACACTAACAATAAATTAGAAACCCTAGAGAGAGTTGCTGCTGTGTGTATATATATCAATAAATTTTTTTGATTCGTTTTTTCATAATTGCACGAAATTCTAATCAATTGTGCTTTATATCGCGTTTGAGTTCATTGGATGACTGATAAGTTGTATATCGAGTCACTAATTTAGCTGAAAGAATTATGAAATTGAAAAAAAAAAAAATTAAAAAACTGAATAATAATGTTATGTAGCTGATGAAGTATTATTTTTTATTTTTAAATTAAAATGTTTGTTTTTTATTTTATTATCTACTTCCTGTATGTATAGTGAAGTGCAAAACCTTAAAAACCAAAAAGTCAAGCTGTGGTTTGTTTTTGTGAACGAAAACTCGCTACAGTGTATGAAACTTTTGGCTTTGTATTTTATTTAGTAAGAAACTAAGAATACAGTTTTTGTTATGGTATTTTTAACTGTAGTCAGTCCTTTTTTTGTGGGGTTTTGTTCATTTTATATGTTTATTTATTTTATGAAATTTTTTCCTCTTCGACATTGATTTTTGATTTTTTTATGTATCAGATGAAATTTAAAATGTTTGAAAATTCATAATTCGTATATATATAGCTAAAAGATTCCGATTTTGACGTATCGGACTCTCAGATGACAATTCCTGTAACCCTGCCTTTTTTTACCCGCACAGTAGCATTTTGCTACTCTTTTTGATATATTATATTTATTTATATTATATTAATGTTATTTAATGCATATCAAGAGCTAATTAATTAGTAACATACTTGTACATGATTTTCAAAATTGGGCAAAATTAATTAACAATATTTTACATTTCTTAATGAAACTGAAATCAGTCCAACTTGTAAAATGTTTGTTAAAGTATAACTATTTAACAGGATTGGCAAAAAATCAATGTTGGTCCTCTAAATTGACCATTGTTCAGTTTTGATACACTAATTTTTCCTCGTGAAAAATAGTCTATTATGTTGCAATTTCGTTAATTTTAGTACTGTAATCCCGAGGGCCGGATTACGTGATGACGTTGACAAGGATTGAAACGACGTGGATGGATAGAATTTTGACCAGGAAGGATTACATTTTCCATGTCTATCACGTAACCCGGCCCATCGGGACTAAAATTTAATATAGTGAATTACTTGTTATGAGGGGAAAATTACTGTACCGAAACTGGACAATGTCCAACTTAGAGGACCAAAATCGGATTTTTGCCTAACAGAATTAGTATTCAGTTTTTGGCATTATTATTTTGTACATTAATTATTATATATTATTATTTGATTTGTACACATCTCAACATTTGTAGGTCTTTATGTTCATACTTAATTTGTTTAACTACATAACCTACTTTTAACATGTTGTGTTCCATCTAAAGACTAAAGTAAGATGTGAAAAAAATTCAACAAGCAGCAAATAGAGTTGGAATTCATATTGTACCTTATTGTTTCTAAATAAAGGAATAAGTGGTCTTCATGGAAATTGCATTTGAATGTTTTTTCTACAAAAATATGAATCATCATTCCTTTGTGTTTTTTCATGGGTCAAGTTTTACACATATCTTGTCTTATTTGTCACATTGTTGTTTCACGGTTCACACATTGCACTATCCAATCTTGTCTGGAAACATATATTTTTTTTTTGTTCAATTAATAGGTCAAATATTTGTAGCTTTATCTTTTGTGGTTTGTAAGGTATTGAATTACATGTCATCAACAATATATAAAATTTATTTAATTTGTTAAACAAGGCATAGAATACAGTATGTGAAAAACTTTAATTTTACTGAAGAATTTGCACTATTTTCAAATTTTGTGGGTAACTTTTTTAGGGGGCTAATAAATCATTTTGTTCATTTTCCAAAATCTTTTTTCGAAGTAGTTCATGTGTTTTGAAGTAAATGTTACCAAAAATTTTACTCAATTAAAGTATAGGAAAATGTTACGGTCCCGTTACGAAATCATTTTTTTAGAATTTGTAAACGTTAGATCATTATGTAACCGTCGGGGATAGATCATCTAACGATTACAAACCCTGACGGAATGATTCTGTAACTGACAGTAACATCTCCCTAAAGTATATTTGATGTCTTCAAGTTCCAACATATCATGTGTTTAGCTCAGTGTGCATGAAAGATTGAGAAACTAACATTGGAAAGCGTTTTCCGGGCAATTAAAGCTTACTCTCTCATTTATTTTTATAATAAAATATTTTGCATTATTTATATTGGTATTCAAGTTTCATTTAAGGCTTAATGGTGGTATAATTTCTGCGAACGGACTCTTATTTTGTTATTTTGCATGTCATATTTAAAAGTTAGAGTAATGCTATAAGTACATAATATTGTACATAGAAGTATACATAACATTCACATTGAGTGGACTCACATAAACATAAAATATCAAGTGGACTCCACTCCATGGAGTGTTATGTACACCTTCTATATACATTTATTATGTACTTGTAGCATTTTTTTAAAGGTATGACAATCTAAACGTCGTACTTTATAATAAAATGGATACTTATATCATGAAATTTAAATTTTTGTTTATTTTATATTTTGGTGTATTGCATTTTAGTGTTGAAGTATGGGTATACGTGAAAAAGTACGGTTGCCTAGTCGTTAGGTCTGAATAACTGCCAACATACTGTTGATAAAATATACTTTGGTTTGCATAACCCAATTTGTCAACTTTAATTAGGCTGAAGATGAGTACAATTACGATCTGTTCAAAATATTCTATACTTGCATGCATTAGTCTTTAATTTGGTTCAGTTCATATAATATTCTTGAAAAGCTGCCTTAATTAGAAGTTCAGATTCACATCTGAAGAATTAAAAAAAAAAAAAAGAAAAAAAGAATGAAATGTAACAGTAAAAAGTGGGTTTTGATAAGGGCAAAACACTAGTTTACCTAAAACTACTAATTATTTATTTGATTGAAAGTACAAAATTACTCAGCTTTTTGAGATGTGTTTATTTCCATTTGTAGCTGTAGGATTTGTTTTGCTTAAATTAAATGTTTTTCAAGATGGGTTACACAAATTGCTATGGCCACTTCGAAAGTTGCATCAGCACATTTTCACGTGCAATAACATTTTATTTCATCTTTACTAGGATCTATAGGTTATGTTATTGAATGGAATCTCATTATTCTTCTTCATATACTTGTTATTTCTCATATAATGTGTGCCAATACTTATCATGAACACCTTTTTTTACCTTAATTTTTGAAAATATTTCTTAAATTAAGTGAACACCTGGCTTGTTCAGGCTCGAGAAATAGAGATTCTAAAGAAATTTTTGTTAAGCTTGCTCGACTAAACAAACATTATCTAGGTGGAATTGCGCTCTCAAACACTACTAGTTAAATTCCCATAGGCATAATCAACAGTAGCCGGAGTTTGATTATGAAAAAGGCGATAGATGAATAAGTTACTTAGTTAATAGCTGACAATGCCCGAAAAAAACTACTAATATAGTGCTACTTAGGACTTTGCTAGGGTTTATAATATTTGGAAAAATTGAAAACATAACTAGCCTCAAGATAGACTAACTCAAAGCTTATATACTTAGACAAAACAGAGTTAAAAGTTTTCAATAATATATGTATATTGGATGATAAAAGAGTGGTTTGTGGAGAGGGTCCAATGAAGTGTCTTGATTTATTTAAACATTATTGGGGGATAAAAGCGAAAAAAAAAAAAATAGAACACAAAAACTTAGTGGGCCCGTTGGGCAAAATGTCTTTATTTAGAGGGAAACGAAAGCCCGAATAGACCGGGTGATCGCAATTCACTTCACATGGGGGCGCCCGGGGTTTGCGCTGAAACCCGGCCCACCTGCCTCATTGGCCCACTCATGCGCACACACAGTCATACACAGATGAACACACACAGTCTCTCTTATCTCTCTCTCTCTGTATGCTCTGCTGTCTGCGCAACTCTTGGCTATAAATGGTTGTAAATTAGGGCTGTGGTTTTATTTATTTTTTATGATTTTTAATTTTCTTTATTGTTTTTTTTTTTTGTGATTGGACTTTGT